CTGTGCTCGAAGCTGAAGGTGCCGAAGCTGAAGACTGTTGTGTAGCTACACCATATCTAGCTGCATACTCATCATATAAGGTTTGAAAATAATTTCTAATAGCTAAATAATGAGTAGTAGCAGTAAGGGTGGATCCATCATCTAAGTCTATAATCTGTCCACCATACAATGATTGTAACAAACTTCGAAGGCCAATTTCCTTCAAGCATGGATCAATAAGAACACCAATACCAAAAATATGAGGAATAGGCCTAAAATACTTATTAAATTTACTCTCCATTTCAAAAATTATACTTCCAAAAATATCATCCATACGATATTTTGTAAAAAAATTTTGAATATTTAAAATTTGTAAAGCAGCTAAAGTAATAGTTGGATAATAACAACCAGATAATAAGATAGTAGCATCATAAAAAACTTGTAACATCTCATTTAATTTACATATAACTGTCTATTCCTCTTCAGTTATTCCATAAGCACTACCAGAGCTAGAAGTAGAAGCATAAAAATTTATAAAATCATTTATAATTTCTTTATATTCTATTGCTACAGATAACATTGCATAGGTGGAATTCCACCTATGGTCAACATCTTTTGGAATTAGTCTAGGCTTATAATTTTTTCTTTTACAACATTGTTTCCATCTTTTAATTCTTATTTCAGAAGCATTATGCATATTAGTAACTGTTCTAACTTTTTCTATCATGGGTTTAATTTCAGAAAATGCACTTTGAACAATTAAATTTAAAATATGACAGATACATCTAACATGAAAAAGCTCACCATGACATGGCAATGACAAAGTTATTTTCAGAAAATCAACAGCTACATTATTATTACTTGCATTATCTAGTGAAAGAGTAAATATTCTTTGATCAATTTCTAGTTTCATAAGTTCTTCAACAATTAAATTTGCAACATTAATACCAGTGTGTGACTCTTCAATTGCAATAAAAGAAACAACTCTTTTAAACATTTTCCAACTTTCATCAATCCAGTGTGCTGTTATACATAAATAACCAGTTTGCACTCTAGATGACCAAATATCAGAAGTTAAAGAAAATTTGCAGTTTAAATTTTTAAAATAAGAAATTATTTTTCCCTGTTCCTCAACATAATATTTTAAAATATCACGTTGACAGGTTTGACGAGAAAATTTTGTAAATGCAGGATAAAAACCATCTCTAAATAAATCTTCAAATTCATCATCTTCTACTAATTTAAAAGGAAGGTTTTTAAGAACAATAAACCTGATTACGCATTTCCGGGCTCGGGCAGCGTCATAATTCCAACTGCCGAGGGTACCTGAAGAGGATGATTGGGAAAGCATAGACTGCCGGATATCACCTTGTAGATTTTGGCCTTTGTTGTGTTTTTCAATATGCCGTTTGAGATGGTTGGTGCCGCTCTTATGATGAGCTTTGAATATCTGGCCGCACAACGCACATTTCGCATTCTGAGAGATGATCCTACCGTGTTCATCCTTGGTGACGTCTATCTTCTCAAAAAAATTCCATACATCAGACCTCGGCCTTTTTGGAGCTCTTGGTGCCGTAGATTCGTCGCCACCAGATTCAGGATTAACACCGGTAGGATGAGGAGTTGTTGTAGGAGGACTCATCTCTGGATCGGTAGGAGTTGCATGTTGCTCTTCATAATCAGACCCAGAAGCCATTTGTTGGAAGTATTAGAAAATACAAAAGATTATAGGATAGTATATTAGTATGAGATAGTATAAGATTGTATAAGAGAGTAGTAGAGAGAGAAATAGAGCCCGGGCCCGGACCCGGGTTTTGCCCGGGTTTCCGGGCCCGGGCCGGGCCCGGGCTCCGGGCTTTTTGGACACCCCTATATACTTGTTCCATGGCTGACCATACAAAATTAAATTGCACATTGACACTTTTCATGGCTGTTAAGTCCTTGCAGCTTGTTTGACTTTGTTCTTACATTACAAACAAGTTTACGTAATCGACATTTGACTTCTTTGATTTTGATGCATATAAAGTCTGATACTCGCATTTCTTGTTGGGAATTTGAGAGGAGATGAGGAGATGATATTTTTCTATATAATTCATCAACTAAAAGTGCCTTTATATAGGCTTACAAAACAACTTAATCCCATAAAAATCTAAACTAATTAGCAACAACTCCACTAACAAAATAACAACCTAATAACAAATTTGAATCAGTTATTCAACATTTCTGACGTTATCGTTTACCCACAAGAAATAGATATGTCCCCTCTTTGGTCAAAATCTATCAAGATATAGATATGGGTATCAATATTTCTTGAATTATCTACGTATTTAGCGATAGCCATAATGCTTTTCTAGGAGTAGATACTGCTTGAAGAGACTTCAAACAGGTAGAAAAATACACAAGACCCTTTGTTTATATTCTTGATCTGTTCAACGATCAAGCAGCTGTTTCACTTAGTCAGAACTGTAGACCTCAACTCCTTCTGTGCGTTGACATTGGATTTCAGTAACATTGAACGCGTTAAAAAGTCCCCTAGTCACTAAAATCTTATCAACCACTCTTTCATTTGAAAATGTTTCACCAAGCAATCTAATTTGATTGACAATAGCCATAAGCTTACCGACATACTCTTTGATGGTCTCACCTTTCTTCATCTTTTGCATCTCAAACTCCCTCTTGAGATTCAGAACTTGCATCAATTTTGTTTGATCGTTGCCTTCGAACTCTTCCTTTAGCATCTCCCACGCCTCCTTAGGTGATTCACAAGTCATTATACTTGTGAAGATTCCATCCGACACGGCCGAATGAATACAAGAGAGGGCTTTTGGCTTCTTTGCTTTTTCTTCATCGTGCTTCTTGATTTGTTTTAGGGTTGGATTTTGTGGAAGAGGGGTAGGCTCATAGTCACTCTCAACAACTTCCCATAAACTCAAAGATTTCAAATGAGATTTCATCTTGATAGCCCAAGATTGATAATTGTCTCCATTGAAGATGGGGTATGGAAGCGAAAAATTGTTGGATGCCATTGAAAAACAAAGATTGATCACTCTATTTTTTTTTTAATCCTCACAAACCATAGCCGAGAGCGCCACAGTTTTGTGAAGAAATCAAATCCGTACTGAATTTGTGAAGACTCCACGCGGCCTTCACCAAATACTCAAAGAAATACGAAACTGAGGATGGGAAGAAGGAAATCTAGACCCAGGTTGAGAAGATAAAGAAATATGCTTCTGTTGTCCGTGTGCTGGCCCACACTCAGATTAGGAAGATGAAGGGTTTGAAGCAGAAGAAAGCCCATTTAATGGAAATCCAAGTGAATTGACCACGTCCTTGCTCCTCTTGATCTCCGGATCTCATTCCTCCTCCTCTTCAATCATCATCAGTCATGCCAAAACAACCAAGCTCTGATACCATGTTGGGAATTTGAGAGGAGATGAGGAGATGATATTTTTCTATATAATTCATCAACTAAAAGTGCCTTTATATAGGCTTACAAAACAACTTAATCCCATAAAAATCTAAACTAATTAGCAACAACTCCACTAACAAAATAACAACCTAATAACAAATTTGAATCAGTTATTCAACATTTCTGACGTTATCGTTTACCCACAAGAAATAGATATGTCCCCTCTTTGGTCAAAATCTATCAAGATATAGATATGGGTATCAATATTTCTTGAATTATCTACGTATTTAGCGATAGCCATAATGCTTTTCTAGGAGTAGATACTGCTTGAAGAGACTTCAAACAGGTAGAAAAATACACAAGACCCTTTGTTTATATTCTTGATCTGTTCAACGATCAAGCAGCTGTTTCACTTAGTCAGAACTGTAGACCTCAACTCCTTCTGTGCGTTGACATTGGATTTCAGTAACATTGAACGCGTTAAAAAGTCCCCTACTTAAGACTTCAGCCATTATCAATGCCCATAGAAGGTCATAACAAGGGTCAATCTCCTGTTGAATTTTACTGTATCCATGAAATAATGTCGATTGACAAAATATATTTTAGGTTAAGAAACTTACCAAACATTACAATTTTGGATTATATAAACTAAGGAAGTAACATAAATGAGCGGACAAAATAGTAGTTAAGTTCTGATAAAACCCAAACTTCATTCATACAACCAATTAAACAATAACAGATGGTATCTTTAATGTAAGCCAGATTATTACCTCTTTTTTAATCAGCGAATGGTCCAGAATTGTGATGGGCACATGGAACTAAGCCATAAATGTGTGAACAGATACATTTACTGATTTCTGGTAGTTTATGATTTGGAATTAAAGCATGTCAATCATGTTGTGTGGCGGACGCTGCTACTCTTTCTCTTGTTCTTGCGAGTAATTTTGTCTACCTATTGATCAACAATGCTAGTTAAAAGATTTAAGAAAAGAAGATGGATTTTTGATGTAAAAAAAAAAAGATGGATACAGAACTAATAAATCCTCTCGGATATCACCAGAAAGATATTGGATATGTGAAACCGTACACGCAGAACTTCCACAATTCAAGAAGTTTTAAAGAGCAATGACAGTGACAGAGATGTTGTTATTGAGGTAACCCACCAACGCAAAATATGGAAGGGATGTGTTGCTGATGAGAGTGCAAGTCAAAACTTCATATATTCAATTATCAGAGTTGATTTTAGATTAGACCAACTCTTTCAAAGCCATAGGGTTAGAGCCCAACATGTGGATTATAATTAGATTTGGGAATGATTAGTTGTCATATCGCGCAAACACTATAAACCAAACAACTTCAGTCTATCAACTACTCACAGATAATACTAGCTACAAATTTGTTTTAGAGGGCTCACTCTATATGACCAATTCTCACAAGACCATTTCATAGTTCAGACCTCTCAGACTCATTCTCAATTAACAAAAAAGTTAGGAATTTTCCTTGCACTGCAGACTTCAGAGGCCATAGAGATTATAAATACAGTCGCCTCTCATTACCAAGCACACCATCACAAACCTCCTTTCCATTTTTAGCAGCACCCAAGGCTTCCTTCTTCAATACCCATCCCTCGTCAATTATACAACAATGGCTTGTACTGTTACGTTGGAGAGAACTATGACCATCACCAAGCGCGACGGTCAATTCCTCGTTTCTTTGATCAAGGACGAAACAAAGAAGGAGAAATCACACAACGGGTGCAAATGTGATCTTGTCAATTATAATTCGTTACCTGATTTCTTAAAGCACAACGAGTTTGTGGTGAATTACTATCGATCGGAGTGGCCTTTGAAGCAAACCATCCTCAGTATTTTCTCTATTCACAACGAGACCCTCAACATCTGGACGTAAGAGCTCTAAAACACTTCAACCAATACTCGTCATTGTGTCCCGTATCATGTGTGTGCTCGTCTAACATTGACATCAATTATCTTATTTCAGGCACTTGATCGGATTCCTCATTTTCCTCACTCTTGCGACCACTTTGATGGTTTCCATTGATACGGGTTTTCAAACAAGTACTAGCCTCTCCTCAGTCAGTAATTCGTCAATTCCTCTGAAACTGCATCAAGAACTATTGGTCTTGCCTACCTTTGAAGCAAACTTAACCGATGAACACAGAACAATACAATCAATTGCTCGCTGGCCATTTTATGCTTATCTCGCAGGAGCAATGTTCTGTCTGCTGATCAGCAGTGCATGCCATCTCCTCTCTTGCCACTCTGAGCACACTTGCTATGTTATGCTTCGTCTTGATTACGCAGGCATTTCTGCGTTAATCGTCACCTCATTCTACCCATTAGTCTACTACACGTTCACATGTGATCCATTCTTTCGAAACCTCTATATGGGCTTTATTACTGTCTTTGGCTTAGCAAGTGTGCTGGTCTCGCTTGTGCCCGTTTTTGAGAGGCCTGAGTTCAGGATGGTACGAACTGGACTATTTGTGTGCATGGCATTTTCAGGGTTGGTGCCCATAATGCACAAAACGGTGGCGTTTGGGGATCGACCAGAGGCTATTATTACGACTCTATATGAGTTAATGATGCTCAGTCTTTATGGAATTGGAGTGATTGTGTATGCATTGAGGATACCGGAGAGATGGTTGCCAGGGAAATTCGACTTAATCGGGCATAGCCATCAACTATGGCATGTTCTAGTTATTGCAGGAGCTTATACTCACTATCTTGCAGGGTTGGTGTACTTGAGTTGGAGGGATATTGAACGTTGCTAGAGTTCAAAGGATTTTGTAAATTCTTTTTGTATAAAGTTTGGGGTTTGTTTGGTGACAGAGGGTTGGCTGTAACTGGGAAATCTTGGAACACTCAAATGTGAGGAGGTTGCCAAAATGGACCTTGGATGAAGTCAAATGTAAAAACTTGTACTCTTTTCATGAATAAGAATATTTAGACATTTTAAGGCCATTTTACATTGCCTTAAACCAAGTCAATGTGAACCATTTTATTTTATAACATGTATTAGCTATGACAATATTTAAATGAAGACATGTATTATACAATTAGCTGGAGGAAATACAGCGTTATGGTTTTATGAGCTACTATGGAAGACATTTGTCCTTTTGACAGTTGATGCACGAAAATGTGTCTATCCTTAGACAATGCAAAACATGGAGGTCAGGAGATTGATGTATCTATCCATCAGAGAGTAAGATGTTTTATCAAGAACTATCCAGTTGACAGTGATCAATTGATAGTTTTCCTTAGTTTTGTATTGTCTCATTCAACTGGTTGAACCACTCATAAATCGCATATCAAAGTTGTGAAATACAGTCAAGCCAAATTTATGCAGTTAACCTCAGAAACATGGTATGATCTGGCAAATGGATGTAGAAAGAAAGACCCAATCTCTATGCTAGAAATTTTGCATGGATTGATTCTCAGTGATGGTGCAATTAGCAATGTGACAAAAATTAGATACATGGATCAGTTGAGGCCCCTTGAGACAAGAAGAGGATTAGATTGGACGAACTTGATGTTGTGTATCTGTTGATGATGGTTAATCAAACAGTCAAATATTTTGGGGTGAGGTTGATGAGGAGTCGCTCACTTCTCCGAATATCTGGTTTTGAGTAGAGTAGCTTTCGGCCTGCACAAGTAGAAACTTGTGAGAGGACGGAGCTTGGTTCCCCCGATGTACCTCCGACGATCAAGTCAGCTGGTGAAGTTGAGTGGGAAAATCAAGAAGAACTGTGAGAGTTCTTGTGTGTAGTGCAGCATAATTAGCAGATATTCTAAAAAGTCAAAATCCCCCCAGTAAAGAGTAGTACCTCTATTTATAATGGTGCCGGAAGAGTAGAATGGACACTTCGGCCGAGCACAGGATGACGGTGAAGAAGTATGGGCTGGCGGCTGCGTCAGCACCTAATTTACATGTGCCGGTCGGTGAGTGGAGGAGGGATCACCTCAGCATTAAATGTGAAGCGATCTACGACTTGGTGGTGCTGACGTGGTCCAATGAGTCATAAAGACTATCGGAGCTAGAGATATGATGTGTCTGCCAAACATTAAATGCGACGCCGACGTGCTGTTAGTGGGAGAGGCCCGAGGCTGAAGTCGTCCTTTAGCTTCGCCGAGAAGTAACGTCTTTCGAGTCAACATCGTGAGTCGTCGAATAACTGGCCGAGTGGGCTCGTTGCGAGTCGTCTTTGACAAGAGAATCGACAAGTACCACCATTCGTGTCGACATAAGGAGATGTCGACTCGACGGGTCGGCTACGTCGGGATCCTTAGCTGTTTTGACCCTCAATCTGACTTGAGTGGTGCATGCAGGGGGACATCTGTCCGTAACTGGCAAAGGGCTGTATTTTGGCGACTGAAAGCACCATAACAGTATCCATCAGAAGTTATTTTATTTTATTTTAAATTTATTTTTAGATTTATAGACAAAAGGAAAGAAGAGGTCACATTTATGAACTGCTCAATGTTCAACACATAAAACTAGATTGCTACATGGAAGTTTGTTTATCTAATTACAACGTGGTATATTAGTCTTAATTGTCAATTCAATCTTTTACAAGACCGATTTAGATCATAGCTTGTCATCAGCACTACAATCGGCTGTCGTTTCTTTAGGTTGTTCACCTGTTTTCTTCTTTTTCTAATCTACTTTATTTTTTGTTTTGAGTATACGGTCGATTGGTTCAATGGAGAGAATAGGAATAGAAATATTGGAAGTGAGCTAACTTTTGAAGCATAAGCTTCCAAGTGTTTCACTAAAGATTCATGAAACAATACAGACCTCTAAAAGAAAAGAGAGAATATCTCACATTACAGGTGATAGTATGTAGGAGAAAACCACATCCTTACCGTCGCCGGATTGTTTGCCATATTCCTCCTTGTTTCCGCTTAAGATAGTCTACGATATTTTCTATATAGTCATTCTATGTATACTAGCATTATCTCACGTGAATATGTAGTGCAGTAGGTCCAAAAACTTGTAACAAAAAAATTTTATGTTTATATTCTTTGGCTTTTTTAGCCACACATATTATTGTTTTCGCTAACAGGAACTTATAGCTTCAATTTACATTCCTTTTAGAACCTAAAATTTATTAGATATGTAATTATAGGCATATATCCTATGTTCATGAAGTATGTGTTGTGCGCAACGGAAATTTCGGCAGCACCTCCGGTGCGCAAGGTGCACAATAAGATATTAGATCGTAAGAATTCCTATCTCACCAAGGAAACAAGAATCTGAAGCAGATATCTCAACAAAGTGAGATATCGGCTCTTCCTCTCATCAGTTCTAGAACTGACCTGTCGAGAGATCCTACAAGCTATTACAAATCACGGCAAGAACACAACTTTTACGTGGTTCGGCAAATAGCATACGTCCACGGGGCAAGGAGGGGGGAGATCTACTAATAGAGGGAGATATACAACTAGGGTTTACAATCTCACAACCTAAACCCTATCACAAACTCTCAGATCCCTCACACAAATATTCTCTCAAAGAGATGCACAAATCAAAGAACAGCTACAAAAAGACTTTGCTTCTTCTCTATGAATAGCCGCCAAAATCTTTGTTCTTTGCTAATTGCTGCAGCCTTTTTTCTTGCACAAATCAGCCACAAATCCACCGCTTCTCTCTGTCTGCAGCCGCACAAAACAAAAGCCAGCCAATTTGCCTCTGCAGCCGCACACCCTCCTAGCACAAAACCCTAGGAACAGTGCTCGTTCCTATATATAGCTGATGTGATCGGGTGGGCCTGCTTTGTCCGCTGAACAAACTCCTTTCATACGGTTTCCCGACTTCGTGGCCTTCTTTACCCGCTGAACAAACTCCTTCCACGCGTTCACTTCGTGGCCCCCACAAAAAAAAAAAAAGAAAACGCGTCTCATTCACCTCCAAAGTTACCAGCTAGCAATCACATGGGAGTGGTCCACGTTCACAATTCTCCACCTCGACGAAGTTTTCCAAAACTAAGCTGACACCAACCAAAACAAATGCCTCACTTGTTGCATCCAGTACGCTATGGCAACGGACTCAATCCATAACAAGTCGAGAACCCAAATGAGAATGTAAACATTCTCCAAATGTCGGTATCAACTCACCAAATCGATCTCACCCCCATCAAAATCCAACCCGGCTGCATCATAAGACTGCCTACGTATCCTCTTGCCCAAGGAATCAAGCCGAACGTAGTTCACCTAAATGGCCGCTAACGACCTCAATCCAATAGAAGAGTTTGCAACCCTTCTCCAACATCACGATCAAGTCTGCGGCTGATAGCACCTCCAATGGCCCTAAACTTAAACAATCCAAACATCTCCACCTGAGATGAACTAATAACCATATCCAGACTACATCTATCAGCTGTACTCGAAATAATCAACCTATCATCTGCATCCAAATCAACACGATTCCTAATCTGTGTCACATCAGCTGGAATCCCAAATGATGCAGTATGATCTGGAGTTTCTACCCAATGTGGAGTAGCATCACTCTCCACCCGCTGCGATGTCCCAAATATCTGATCACCACTCTCCACCTGCCGAGAGTCAAACGTGACATATCTGCTCAGAACAAAGTCAGAAGCCAATACCTGATAATCAAACACGCCTCTGAATCCCAAATGTGCTATCGGATCAAATCTCACATCCACGATGTGACCAAGTGCTGGGTAGCCAAACATCCGACGCAACCCAAAATCTGAAGCAGCTCCACCAGATCCCATATCTCTATATGCAGCAGTCGACAACCTATACATAAGATGGCCCAAACATGTCGTAGCCCGCACACCAATGCCAATGCTCAACATCAAACGCCGATCATCCTTCAGAAAGGAATAGCTCCCCAAATCTGCCATCTCATCACGTCGCCTCAAAGTTTCCACACCAATAAAGTGTCTCCAATTGCCGTGAGCTCGGCACAAATACACAAATAGGTCCCTCTTGCACCTCCCTCTAACATCAGACTGAAGTACCTTCACCTTTCTGTCAATACACTTCCTCCATTTGTTGCGGGCTTCTAGGACTTCACACTAACGGGACTTGGTTGCAACCCACCAATACCTAGAGCAATCCCCAACTGCGGAAACCACATACCTATTACCTCCCAATGATGCTCTCTTGGAAGGCCCCCGAATGCCTGAATGAACACCCCTCAGAAGACCCCTCGAATGATGGATAGAAGTGTCAAACTTCATCTCGGTCTTCTCGCTCATACCAATGGGTTCACAGGACTTCAAACTACAGGTCATAGCACTCCTCAACAACCTATGCACGGTATTACCAATCAAATAACCCAGCATCAAACAACGCCACAGTCTAGCCAAATCTGATGAAGTCGTCATCTCCCTATCAATCGCCGTGCTTCCGAGCAAATAATACAAATTGCTCCTTCTGACGCCCTTCATCATAATCATGGACCCCAATGTGACCTTCAAACGTGCATCCACCAAGGTCACTTTATAGCCAGATGCCACCAAAGCTCCCAGTGAAATGATGTTCTTTGACAACTGCGGAACGAACCTCACTTCATCCAACTCCTGAATCACTCCGTCATATATCCGAATACGAACGGTACCAATACCATCAATAGAGCATGCATGTCCATTACCCATGAGCACAACATCCTCTCTTTCTAACTTCTGAAAGCTGGAGAACCAATCCCTCCTAGGGCAAACGTGGTATGAAGCACCTGGATCCAATATCCATTCTGTAGAGTTGGTAACACAAACTGATGGTAGTACAGACAACGAATAACCCGAAGAATCTGAATCTGAATTGTTGCCACTAGTCTTGACAGCATTCACCTCTGAAGCTTGTACAGCTTTCCCCCTTATTCTTCTCGGCTCGATCTAACTTTGGACATTCGGCTTTCCAATGTCCATCCTCTTTACAAAAGGCACACTGATTCCTACGAATCCCACGATGTGCACCTCTAGAGTGCGATCTCCTGCTTCGGTTTGAACCACGACCATGAACTACTAATGCATCTCTCGATGCCTTCTCGGAGGACTCATCAACACTCTTCCTCAACTCATAATTTACCAACGCTGATGTCACCTCCTTGTAACTAACAGTAGTTCTTCCATTAATCATAGTTAGTACATAAGTACCATAATCATTCTCGGGTAACGAACACAAAAGTAGCATCGCCTTGTCTTCATCCTCAACCATGATATCCACATTGGCCATGTCTGAAAGTAGCTTTGTAAAGTTACTAACATGCTCCCTAATGGAAACTCCCCTCTTTATCTTGAACTGGTAAAACCTTTTCTTCAAGTGAAGCCGATTCTTAATGTTCTTAGTAAGATACTTTTCATTGAGTGTTTCCCACATCTTCTTCGCTGACGCCTCGTTCATCACGTCATAAATAAGATCCGACGTCAAGCATGACCGAATAACTCTACACGTCCTACTATTCATCTTTTTCCAAACCTTAGCTTCCATATCAGCAGGTTTCTCTTGTAACTCAAGAGTCTCCTCCAAATTCTGAGCGTCCAAGGCGTCCATCACCTGACACCTCCACAATCCGAAATTAATCTTGTCGTCGAACTTCGGAACATCAATATTCATGTTATTGATGCTCAAACTATGTATCGTCTTCGTAAGAGACGATCCCGATGTGCTTGTTTTACCCTTCATGTTATTGATGCTCAAACTATGTATCGTCTTCGTAAGAGACGATCCCGATGTGCTTGTTTTACCCATGTTGTCGATCTAATCTTCAAATAGGAATCCTTTAGCGAATCCTTCAAACAACTCCCAAATCCAACCCGGAGCTCTGATACCACTTGTTGTGCGCAGCGGAAATTTCGGCAGCACCTCCGGTGCGCAAGGTGCACAACAAGAGATTAGATCGTAAGAATTCCTGTCTCACCAAGGAAATAAGAATCTGAAGTGGATATCTCAACAAAGTGAGATATAGGCTCTTCCTCTCATCAGTTCTAGGACTGACCTGTCGAGGGATCCTACAAGCTATTACAAATCACGACAAGAACACAACTTTTACGTGGTTCGGCAAATAGCCTACGTCCACGGGGCAAGGAGGAGGGAGATCTACTAATAGAGGGAGATATACAACTAGGGTTTACAATCTCACAACCTAAACCCTATCACAAACTCTCAAATCCCTCACACAATTATTCTCTCAAAGAGATGCACAAATCAAAGAACAACTACAAAAAGACTTTGCTTCTTCTCTATGAATAGCCGCCAAAATCTTTGTTCTTTGCTAATTGCTGCAGCCTTTTTTCTTGCACAAATCAGCCGCAAATCCACCGCTTCTCTCTGTCTGCAGCCGCACAAAACAAAAGCCAGCCAATTTGCCTCTGCAGCCGCACACCCTCCATGCACAAAACCCTAGGAATAGTGCTCATTCCTATATATAGCTGATGTGATCGGGTGGGCCTGCTTTGTCCGCTGAACAAACTCCTTTCAAGTTTCCTGACTTCGTGGCCTTCTTTACCCGCTGAACCTTCCACGCGTTCACTTTGTGGCCCCCACAAGAAAAAAGAAAACTCGTCTCATTCACCTCCAAAGTTACCAGCTAGCAATCACATGGGCGTGGTCCACGTTCACAGTATAGTATGGAATATTCTAGAAAACCAAAGGGGGGGGGGGAGAGAAGAAAGACAAAATGTTTGTGATATATGGAAAATTCTAGAAAATAAAAAAGACAAAGGGATAAAAAGGGGTATTTGTTAAATTATTTTTTTTCCCTTCCAAATATGGTAGAAAATAAGAATACGTCCACCACTCATCCAAATTGTGGATTATCCCCACTTGATTTTTTATATAGGAGTATAGATATGTATGAAACATGTTGTAATGCCCCAAAAAAATGAAAAATGAAAAAAGTCCTAGACAGAGTGTAGACTGATATAACCCCTCCTCAAATTCACCAAAGTAAAAGAGAGTTACGATAATCCTTCTAGAGGGGCTAAAATGATTTAACTCTCAAATACAAGGGTTTACTATTTTGTCTCCTTGGATATGTTGAGAGACAACCCCTTTATTTACAAAGAAATGTAGTTGTAGTCTTTGCTATTGCCACTAAGAAAGATCACTATAATTAAAATAAATATACCTAACATATTAGCTAATTTACCTATTCAGGATAATAAATGTTTTAACTAAGTTAATCTCCGCCTTAATCTCTCTTTTTCATATATTTCCCAAACGAGGGGCTAATAAAACAATCTTATAAACATTTGACTGAGATATCCTGAATTTAAGACCCAATTTTGTGTCCAGCTCACTTGACTTGTCCACTAGTTCCATCTAATACACGAATTTATTTATATAAAGAGGTTAGATACGGATAACCCCATGTATGATATGGGGTAAGCGACTTTAACCCTTTAAATTTCCTGGTAGCACTTTACCTTCGCATGGCAACAGAGTTATCTTCTTGTTATGTGTTCCCTTCGTAGGTGAACATGACATCAATATATTATAAAGACATTTCTAGATATTTCAATGTATTGCATAGATATCCTGTATTCTCGACCATAAAGTCCTGCGATACTGCTATAGATAAGAGAGAGATAGCCATGTTTGAACATCAAGGAGTCTAAATGGTAATAAAAAGTTCATAAATAATCAATCACTAACCATATATTGTACATTTGAATCATTGAATATTGTATCTACAATTAACAGTCCGCACCCCCCCCCCCCCCCCCCAAAAAAAAAAAAAAAGGAAAAAGAATGAATGAATTTTTCTTAAACGCTAGCAACCTTCAACATCCCTCCAACTCAAGTAGACCAATCCAGCAAGATAATGAGTATAAGCTCCTGCAATGACCAAAACATGCCATAGTTGATGACTGTGTCCAATCAAATCGAATTTCCCTGGCAACCACCTCTCTGGTATCCTCAACGCATACACAATCACTCCAACTCCATAAAAACTCAGCATCATCAACTCATATACGGTTGTGATGACAGCCTCCGGTCGATCCCCAAACGCCACCATTTTGTGAATTATCGGCACCAAGCCTGAAAATCCCATGCATGCGAAAAGCCCAGTCCGGACCATCAAGAACTCAGGCTTTTCAAACACGGGCACCAGCGATACAATTACGCTGGCTAGACCGAAGACAGTGATAAAGCTCATGTAGAGATTTCGAAAGAATGGATCACATGCGAATGTGTAGTAGAGTAACGGGTAGAATGAGGTGACGATCAATGCAGAAATGCCTGTGTAATCGAGACGAAGCATTACGTAGCATGTGTGCTTAGAGTGGCAAGAGAGGAGGTGGCATAAGCTGCTGATTAGTAGGCAGAACATTGCTCCAGTGAGATAAGTGTAGAATGGCCAGCGAGCAATTGGTTTTATTGTTTTCGGTTCGAATGAAGGAAGGACTAGTAATTCTTGATGCAGCTTCAGAGGAATCGACACACCGTTGACAGAAAGCATCAAAGTAGCCGCGAGAGAGAGGAAGATGAAGAATCCGATCAAGTGCCTGAAACAATATTAAATCATCTGTGTTAGACATAAAATATAGAGAGATTAGGAAAAACTAGAAATATGAAAAGATGACAGTATGATAGAAATTGTTTCCCTCCCTCTCTCTCTCTCTCTCTCTCTCTCTCTCTCTCTCTCTCTCTCTCTCTTTTTTTTTTTTTCTTTGCAGATTAGAGCTCTTACGTCCATATGTTGAGGGTCTCGTTGTGGATGGAGAAGATGCTGAGGATGGCCTGCTTCAAAGGCCACTCTGATCGATAGTAATTCACGACAAACTCGTTGTGCTTCAAGAAATCGGGTAACGAATCATAATTGACGAGTTTGCGCTTGTTCAATTCATTGATTGATCTCGTATTTTCCTTCTTATCTTCCTCCTTGATGAGAGTAACGAGAAATTGATTGCTGCTTCTGGAGAAAGATATAGTTTTCTCTAATGTTACAGTACAAGACATCGCCACACAGCTAAATCTTCGATGCTATAACAAGAAAGTGCTGACAGGGGTTGTTTTGAGAGAAAGAATAAATTGTTATGAAAGAATGAAATGGGAGTTGGTGTTGGGAGGGGGAGAGTTTGAGTTGGTGTCTATTTGTAGACCAATTTGTTTTTCTCTCTTACAAAAAGTCATGGAGTTTGACTTGGAATTTTTATCAGAGAATAAGTCAATTGGGAGAATCGTTCTTAGTCAGCCTCTCCAAAATAAATCAATAAATGAATTTACACTGATGTTTTCAACTAGTCCGTATTAAAAAAAAGGGAAGAAAAAAGAAAGAAAATAAATGGATGTATGAATGAAGAGTAGATACTAAGTAGTCCCTTTATAATTTGACCCCATTACCTCATCATACAGGATCCAACTGTTCACTTTTTTTAAAATTTTTAATTAAGAACTCAAATTCAGATAATAATCATCAGCATTATTGAATGATACACTTTATTTGAGAAAGTACAAATAAACAGTAGTTTAGATAATATTGACAGTTAATCTTCATAGCGCTGCTACAGTGACCCAAAATATGGGACCAATGGGTGGGACTAGTGATGTGTCCCTCCCCTATTGGATAATGAGTTGGCAATGAGTTGGCATCACCAACTCATTATCCAATAGGGGAGGGACACATCACTAGTCACATCCATTGGTCCCATATTTTGGGTCCTTGGAGCATTAATCTTTTAATTAACATGTGCTTTATATCAAATAGTCTTATTGACTAATGTAATAGAATTGAGGCATTTGTATAACGATTAACAGGGTTTGTCCACAGTTTACCAACCACTCTTACGTGGCTTAGACGGTTGGCAGTTTTGCTCTTGGTTTTTTTTTTTAAGAATAATTTGATTGGTTGATGATTTTATTGAGGTGATTAATATGTGAGTATAGTCTCACATCGGATAAGATAAGAAAGAGTGATGAGTTTGAATATGAGTTTTGGTCAATACTTGATGGTGATAGCTTTTAGGTTAAATTTAATTCATTATTTCTGTTTAAAGCCCATCAACTCTACTAGATTGAGCCTGATTTCTCCCCCAATAATGATAACAAAGCTAAGGTCATTATCCAAGTAATTTAAAAAAAATAGACAATCTTCGATGTGAAACCCGAAGGTGTTGGGAGAATCCATGGATACCCGTAGGGGAGTGATATAGTCTAGTTAGCCATCAATACCTGATCGTTATAGCCTTTAGGTTAAAATTGATTTCTAACTTCTATTTAAGGCCTATAACCTCTCGATTGGGCCCGACTTTTCCCCCAATAGATTTCACTATAGGGAAAAATAATCACTAGCATTTAGAGGTATCAGACTGATTCTAAAACGCGCTTTTGTTAAACTAATCTCCCCTCTCTTGATTGAGAGGGTGTTTGAGTTATTAGCAAGTCAAAAAAAGCTTATGATTTCACATTATTAGCATTAGAAAATTCAAAAAGAAGCCCTTCCGCGGTTGGTTATGTGACAAAAACAAAAACTGTATATGACTGATGATTATGGAATAAGCCAATTGTTAGCCTATTGATCTCAAATTGGAGGAGGGGGTGGGCAATTTATCCCATATTTGGGCCCACAATTTCTTTTTCCATTCCAACGAACGCTGATTACTGAAACAGCCAACCATCTTTTACCACCCTTTGTGATATAGACAAAAACTAGTAGCAGATCACGAGTATGAAGACTTGGAAATAGAGCGATGGGATGCCAAAATAATGGGGAGAGAAAAAGTCAGCCGCCATCTCAACACTTTTCCACGGTTCTTGTGGAGGGCGCGTTCCAAAGTTCTGAAACGAACCAAATTCCTACTGAGAACAACATCCGCTCAAAAGAAATTCCCAGTCCACGGCTGCGTCAAAATTGGATGCGCTTTAGCTCACCTAAGTACCAAAGGGGGGCACGGTTTTCTTATCAACTTTCAGCCTACATGGCTCTATGCCCATAAAAGGAAAAGAGTGGCACTAGAGGCACACCATTGGACATAATCCCAACCACACCCCCTCACCTGCTACAGTGCAGGGGGCCCCACATGGGATTTTTAAAAAAATCCCATGTGGGGCCCCCATGCACTGTAGCAGGTGAGGGGGTGTGGTTGGGATTGTGTCCAAGGGTGTGCCTCTAGTGTTTCTTAAAGGAAAAAGGAATCAAAAGGGATCCTACAAAATTTTTGTGAGGACGCTAGTAACACACCGATTCCTAAGATTGCAAAAGCAAGAACACTCCACTTCCCCATTAAAACAAAACCAATAAAAACCAATATAGGAGTAACCCGCGGATGCTCATACTATTAATCCAAACAAGAGGACCAAACGATTAATCCAAAGAAAACCAAACTTATTCTCTCCACTTGCTCTTGTACTCATCCTCTCTTTGCCCTCAGTATTTCCTCAGCCTTGTCCACCCAACTCTCTCATCTCATGGGATACAACGTTGGCCTATGTTTGTTTCTTGGCTGCAGTGTCTTATTACCCATAAGTTTCTATGCATATAAAGTCCAAAAAACACTTTTAACAACTAAAGGCCTCGCTGCTTCTCACAGTACAACGTGCTTCAAGGACTCTAGAATGGAGTCCTTAAAGCACAAGAAAGTACTGTTTCCAAAAGAAGGGAAGGGTGAGAGGTTGTCATGCTGTTGTGAGCTTGTAGGCTACCAATCTCCACCTACTTATTTGAAGGACAATGAGTTCATTCTGAACTACTACAGATCAGAGTGGCCTCTGAAAAAAACTGTACTCAGCATCTTCTCTATCCACAACGAGACCCTCAACATCTGGACGTAAGCCCTCACGCTCTTACACGAGTTAATTGTGGATACAACCCTTGTACTAAGCCCAATCATGGATAAACTCCATGTAGTTTTATTGTTGCGGACAGACTCCCTAGTGATTTTTTTTTTTTTTTTTTTATTATTGTTGCGGACAGACTCCCTAGTGATTTTTTTTTTTTTTTTTTGACTCATTTATCCACACAGAAAGAGTTTGTTTTTTAACAAATAGACAGCCTGAGGTTAAAAGAGTCGCAAAATATTACTCAGGCTCTATCTGCAGCTACAGGACCATAGGGTATCTATCCACAATTGGACGGTAGCACAAGGCTTGTTCTATCTGCAGTTAAGCCTACTTACCAACAAGACACCAGCTCACATACAGTTTTACTGATATCTTTCAGGCACTTGATTGGCTTCTTCATCTTCCTTACCCTGACAATTTTCACTGGAATGATGATGCAAGAAAACTTAATGGAGATCAAAGAACTACGGGGCAGCCTAAACTCGCATGCTTCGAAGTATATGATTCCATCATTATCGTTCAACCAGACCTCTCCCCAAGTTCTGGTTGTATCAAATGACACCATTAATCATGCCTACTCTCTGGTACATTATACAACTTAATACTCATTCTGTTTCAAGACTAGTGACTAAAAACCAGTGTTGTTGACACTAATAAAGATCCTCTTCCTACAGATGTTTGGAAAAGAGAATGACATGAACACGGTAGACCCATCTCTACAGGGACCGACCATTGTTCGCTGGCCTTTCTTCGCTTTCATGTGTGGAGCAATGTTCTGCCTTCTCACCAGCAGTACTTGCCATCTCCTATCCTGTCACTCGAAGCTTTACTCCTACATCATGCTCAGACTCGACTATGTTGGCATCTCAGTCCTCATTGTCACCTCCTTCTACCCCTTAGTCTACTACTCCTTCATGTGTCACCCACTCTCTCGCAACCTCTACATTGGAATCATCACCATTTTTGGGATCGCGACCTCATCAGTCTCGTTGTTACCTATCTTTCAAACTCCAACATACAGACCAGTGAGATCAGGTCTTTTCGTCATTGTGGGAGTATCAGGGATTGTGCCTATAGCACACAAATTAGTTATATTCAGTCATCAGCCTGAAGCACTCCTAACGACGGGATATGAGTTGGTGATGGGGGCTTTCTATGTATTTGGGGTGGTGGTTTATGTTGCTAGAGTCCCGGAGAGGTGGATGCCTGGAAAGTTTGACCTCGCAGGGCACAGCCATCAGCTGTTCCATGTTCTGGTCATTGCCGGAGCTTGTACTCACTATCTTGGAGGACTTGTGTACCTAAGGTGGAGACAGATGGAAGGATGCTATTAGGGTTCGAACTTAAGAATTCATGATGTACGTGAACAGTGTCAAACTATATCATCTCAGGTTATAAAACGTTTCAGCTGAGAGATAATGTTTCTCAATATCCTGTGTCATAGAAATCTATGTTGACAACAACTGGGGGAAAACACTATCTTGTTCACTACTAGCTCCACAGAGAAATAAGTTCTATACATAACTTTAAAAAAATTCAAATTTGGCACAATTTACCTCACTGTGCTAAAACCCTAATCTGGATTCATGGACATGGAATCCAGTACAATGTATCAAGAATCCCAGATAAGTTCTATACATAACTTTAAAAAAATTCAAATTTGGCACAATTTACCTCACTGTGCTAAAACCCTAATCTGGATTCATGGACATGGAATCCAGTACAATGTATCAAGAATCCCAGAACAAGGCTGAGGAAATACTGAGGGCAAAGAGAGGATGAGTACAAGAGCAAGTGGAGAGAATAAGTTTGGTTTTCTTTGGATTAATCGTTTGGTCCTCTTGTTTGGATTAATAGTATGAGCATCCGCGGGTTACTCCTATATTGGTTTTTATTGGTTTTGTTTTAATGGGGAAGTGGAGTGTTCTTGCTTTTGCAATCTTAGGAATCGGTGTGTTACTAGCGTCCTCACAAAAATTTTGTAGGATCCCTTTTGATTCCTTTTTCCTTTAAGAAACACTAGAGGCACACCCTTGGACACAATCCCAACCACACCCCCTCACCTGCTACAGTGCAGGGGGGCCTCACATGGGATTTTTTTTAAAATTCCATGTGGGGCCCCCCTGCACTGTAGCAGGTGAGGGGGTGTGGTTGGGATTGTGTCCAAGGGTGTGCCTCTAGTGTTTCTTAAAGGAAAAAGGAATCAAAAGGGATCCTACAAAATTTTTGTGAGGACGCTAGTAACACACCGATTCCTAAGATTGCAAAAGCAAGAACACTCCACTTCCCCATTAAAACAAAACCAATAAAAACCAATATAGGAGTAACCCGCGGATGCTCATACTATTAATCCAAACAAGAGGACCAAACGATTAATCCAAAGAAAACCAAACTTATTCTCTCCACTTGCTCTTGTACTCATCCTCTCTTTGCCCTCAGTATTTCCTCAGCCTTGTCCACCCAACTCTCTCATCTCATGGGATACAACGTTGGCCTATGTTTGTTTCTTGGCTGCAGTGTCTTATTACCCATAAGTTTCTATGCATATAAAGTCCAAAAAACACTTTTAACAACTAAAGGCCTCGCTGCTTCTCACAGTACAACGTGCTTCAAGGACTCTAGAATGGAGTCCTTAAAGCACAAGAAAGTACTGTTTCCAAAAGAAGGGAAGGGTGAGAGGTTGTCATGCTGTTGTGAGCTTGTAGGCTACCAATCTCCACCTACTTATTTGAAGGACAATGAGTTCATTCTGAACTACTACAGATCAGAGTGGCCTCTGAAAAAAACTGTACTCAGCATCTTCTCTATCCACAACGAGACCCTCAACATCTGGACGTAAGCCCTCACGCTCTTACACGAGTTAATTGTGGATACAACCCTTGTACTAAGCCCAATCATGGATAAACTCCATGTAGTTTTATTGTTGCGGACAGACTCCCTAGTGATTTTTTTTTTTTTTTTTTGACTCATTTATCCACACAGAAAGAGTTTGTTTTTTAACAAATAGACAGCCTGAGGTTAAAAGAGTCGCAAAATATTACTCAGGCTCTATCTGCAGCTACAGGACCATAGGGTATCTATCCACAATTGGACGGTAGCACAAGGCTTGTTCTATCTGCAGTTAAGCCTACTTACCAACAAGACACCAGCTCACATACAGTTTTACTGATATCTTTCAGGCACTTGATTGGCTTCTTCATCTTCCTTACCCTGACAATTTTCACTGGAATGATGATGCAAGAAAACTTAATGGAGATCAAAGAACTACGGGGCAGCCTAAACTCGCATGCTTCGAAGTATATGATTCCATCATTATCGTTCAACCAGACCTCTCCCCAAGTTCTGGTTGTATCAAATGACACCATTAATCATGCCTACTCTCTGGTACATTATACAACTTAATACTCATTCTGTTTCAAGACTAGTGACTAAAAACCAGTGTTGTTGACACTAATAAAGATCCTCTTCCTACAGATGTTTGGAAAAGAGAATGACATGAACACGGTAGACCCATCTCTACAGGGACCGACCATTGTTCGCTGGCCTTTCTTCGCTTTCATGTGTGGAGCAATGTTCTGCCTTCTCACCAGCAGTACTTGCCATCTCCTATCCTGTCACTCGAAGCTTTACTCCTACATCATGCTCAGACTCGACTATGTTGGCATCTCAGTCCTCATTGTCACCTCCTTCTACCCCTTAGTCTACTACTCCTTCATGTGTCACCCACTCTCTCGCAACCTCTACATTGGAATCATCACCATTTTTGGGATCGCGACCTCATCAGTCTCGTTGTTACCTATCTTTCAAACTCCAACATACAGACCAGTGAGATCAGGTCTTTTCGTCATTGTGGGAGTATCAGGGATTGTGCCTATAGCACACAAATTAGTTATATTCAGTCATCAGCCTGAAGCACTCCTAACGACGGGATATGAGTTGGTGATGGGGGCTTTCTATGTATTTGGGGTGGTGGTTTATGTTGCTAGAGTCCCGGAGAGGTGGATGCCTGGAAAGTTTGACCTCGCAGGGCACAGCCATCAGCTGTTCCATGTTCTGGTCATTGCCGGAGCTTGTACTCACTATCTTGGAGGACTTGTGTACCTAAGGTGGAGACAGATGGAAGGATGCTATTAGGGTTCGAACTTAAGAATTCATGATGTACGTGAACAGTGTCAAACTATATCATCTCAGGTTATAAAACGTTTCAGCTGAGACAAAAAAAAAAAATAAAAATAAAAAGGGCCGAAAAACCCACCCACCCACCTACACACACAGAGAGAGAGAAAGCAGAAAAAACCCATAAAAGAAATGAAAATAAGTGGGAAAAAAATCAGTCATAAGAATGCTATAAGCCTTACTGCCTTGAGACCTATGACATTACCAAAACCTAATCCGAGTTTAACCCCCCCCCCCCCCCCCCCCAAAAAAAAAAAATAAAAATAAAAAGGGCCGAAAAACCCACCCACCCACCTACACACACAGAGAGAGAGAAAGCAGAAAAAACCCATAAAAGAAATGAAAATAAGTGGGAAAAAAATCAGTCATAAGAATGCTATAAGCCTTACTGCCTTGAGACCTATGACATTACCAAAACCTAATCCGAGTTTAAATATCCCATCCAAACCCAGTCAGTTGTCTGAGTCCTATGTTCGACAGAATTAGCCAATGGCAAACATTGTCATATAAGTTCACATAATGCCAAACAAGTGAGAACTGATTATTAGAAATATACATATAAAAACACAACATTTGCATATCAAATTATTCAGAAATATGTAGCTTACGCATCCACATGCATTCTACATTTATCATTCTTACCGACATCCAACTGTAAAATTATGAATTTAAGGATCAAGAGAAAAGAAAGCAAATATCTTTTTTTGTATAAAATATAATGGGGAAAACAAGAAAATTTAACTAAGCTGCAATTAGTGTAGAGTTGAACCAACAATTAAGCACGTAAGGATGACGCAATAAATGGACACCCAAACAAATATGACCAACACAACAATAGCATGTATTGCAATCGGCCTTCAGCCAAGGGCTAGAGTATAAAAATGACCCTGATATTTTCAGGAATAAAATAGCTATTGGTTTCAGAAAGTATCATTCTAAAGAAAAGAATAAATTATCACTACACTTCATCTTGTGTGACATAGCAGAAGGCTAGAAGCAACCATCGGGGAGGAGCAATAGTCATTACCATTTCAGCTGACCTTTTAAATTTCAGGCCAGCAATAAATCAAAACGGGTTACCTTGTAAATGGAGAATAGGAGCGATGTCTCAGGAGAGAGTTAGTCTGCAAGAATGTGTATGCTATGTATGCCTATATGGAAACCATGATTGCCCTCAGTTTCTCGATTCAATGCCACAACTTACTGCAGAAACCATTACGCGGCCTCTTGCAGGTGACTATCTCAGAAAAAGAATCAACCAGTTGCCCTGCAAGGCTACTTGGGTCATCAACGAGGGTTCGGATGAATGTGATCACCACTCGTCGTTCCTGCTCAGTAGACCTCAGGCTGAACCAAGTTAGGAATTTCATACGAAAATCATTCTCGATGTGGCCTGTGCATTCCAGCCACCTGATCACCTTCACGCAATACTCATAGTTATCATCCAATTGACCTAAACCATTGGAAACTCGCACAGGTGATGCATTGACCAACGTGCTATCTCCATCACAAGTTTCCTCATGTGCGTTAATTGACCGCTTCCTAGACTCTGGTCGAGACTCTACAGCAGGCACTTCACCAATTTGCCGAGCAGCACAGGTCTGAGAATCACCACTACCATTTGACCTAGCCAATTCATTCTTCTCTGAACTGCATCCATTTTCTTCATCAGGGGAGCCCTCTACAGGGGTAGTTACTTCTGCATTAAGGTCAGGAACCGAAACAACGTTCAAATCCAGTCTGCGGACAACAGAAGGCTCTGCTTGGCGCTCTTCACCAGTTTCTAGTTTCAACATGCCACTCCCACCACAGGATTCTTCGTCTACCACATCTTTGCAAAACTCATCATAGATGCCTTCTTCTTCTTGTGCCCAAGCTAGTTCTAGGACTTTCCCAAGATTTCGGACCTTGAATCCAGATGACTTGGTACCTCGCGACTTGGCCTCTATCTTGGCATTTGATGAGCATCCTTCCACTCCGTTGTGCTCCGTTTGCTTCTGGATTATCTCCACACTCTTTGTAAAACATTTAGCTTCTGAATGGCCCAAGTCTCCGCCTTCTGTGAAAGAAATAACACGGAAAGCATATTCTGTGCATGGTTGAAGATTAGAGATTAGAATCCTTCTTTGAGCTTTTGGAAAGGTTACAGGCTCTTTTTCGTGTGGTTCTTCTTCCCTGGTTTTATAATACCAGAGCTTGTAACCCTTTATGATATCAGATGCTGATGCACTGGTTTCTTTTAAAACAATTACAAGAGAAGAACATGTTATTTCTTCAAACTGGAATCGGCAAGCAGCAGGAAGAGAATCTGCATTAGGGGCAAAATAACTATTTTTTGTCAGAATTAAGGATAAATGAAGAGCAAGAATATTGGTAACGAGTTGTACCGCTGTGTTTTGGATCTGAATTGGTATTGGCACTGAGCCACTCATCTGCCTTCTCAATTGCAAGAGAGCATGATCTCTGCACATCACTAGCAATGGATAGCCTGCTTACAATACCACGGGCCATCTTGGCTGAGACACCATTTAGTGGACCAACTTCTGTTTCCAGCTTTGCTTTTGCATCATCTACAATTTTATGCAATTCTTTGAATCGGGAAGTGCCTGCCAAGAGCCTGTAACCGAGAAATATCCGGTAGCAAAGGATATCCACCCGGCGAGCATCTTTTGCTGTTGCCAGTTGCTTCCTCCAGCTTCTGTAAGAAGACATCCAGAAATTTTAAAGGTTAAGCATCAGAACTTGTAAACTGGAATGCTATGTTCAATGCATTGCCGAAATATAAGAGTGAGATTGTTCACAAACATTATGAACTGTAAACATCAGAAAGATGAAAGAGAAATAAGTCAGGATCTTTCAATTAGTACAAGATTTTAATTTAGTTTATGGTACAATGTCAGAGATGCCTATCATGTACAAACTTTGCACACAGGTTCTTCTATAGTGAATTGATGTCATGTCAGATAACTATAGTTCATAACACTTGCTCCACGTCCACGTTACTGCCATGTCATAGGACTGGTTAGACCCTTATTCCAAGTAAAAAACAAAAATAAAAAGAAGAGTATTGACTTGGATTTTTCTGTATGTAGGTGTGTCCTTCATGTCTCATACATGTCATTACAAAACATGAATGACTGAAACCATGATTACGCTCATGATGCTTCTGAACAAAGTCCAATAGAATGAATCAGATGAGTAGTTCATTAGCAGGTTGAACAGGATTTAAATCTGACTGATCATATCCAAAAATCCAACAAGTCAACCCAAAATTAGCAGTGGAAACGACACATCAGCGTGACTATGAAAGGAAGGCAACCAATGAATTGAAATTTTACACTAACCACTGCAATAATCATCCGCCACAAAGAGAACAAAACATTTCTTTTCTTCTTTCATTTAGAAAGCCAATATTGACAACTTCAAAATCAAGAACCCACACGATTTGATCATAACTGGGTTAAAAACAGTGTATGCATTATAGACACTACAAATTACACCTTGTTAAAGTAGTAAATTAACCTGATAGAACTTGAGGAGCATAAGTAGGTCACTCTTGATTATGACTAGGAGGTTTCCGTTTCGTAAAAGAAACCAACAAAAGCATTACTTGTTAAAGACATAAAATTTCTCCCAGAACAATAGTGTAAAGTAGCATACTTAAGACAACACCAAGAATTTTAAGCAACCAAATAGCCCCTATAATAGATTTACAACTGATAACATAACGAGAATGTGGCCCCTTGAGCTGGAGGATGGAAAGTTACTACATTGTCCATTTAAAAGCACATGTAGACCATCCCAATAGATGCTCCATACGATTCCTCCAAATATATACAAATGGAATGACGTGTAAAAGTAAATTACACATTTTAAAATTTTAGTACCATATGTAAGGGATCCTCCCAGTGTCGAAAAGTTGTTCATTTTGCAGCTACTCGACACATAGGAGAGACCCAATACAGCATAGTTTTTCATCTTTCAACATATTAAGGACACGAATGATGAACATTCAGATCATTTTTTGCTCTAAACTAATGCAATTTACAGGAACCACGTACAATACATTAACAGCAAAATTTGTCACTCTTCAAAAGATTTAAGATGCTAATCTTAGCTACAAATGTACCAAATCTAAACACAATTGTCCACTTTGTACTTCTGGATAATAAACTAATGATGCTAATTATTGTCAATAATTTTTTTTCTGTTCTTTTCTTTTTAGATTTTTTAATAATAAGTTGAACTCCCATAGCCTCCCACAGACAGGAGAGGTTTCCTCTCACTACGTTGGATCGGACCTTGAACCCTAACCATCCTATCACCAAAAAGTGCCTTATTAACTCTCCTTCAAGTTCCTCACAAGGCCGTTGTTATTAGTTCTTACTAAAATGCATTAGTGTATACAAATAAAATTTACATCTACGCATCTTTTATAGAAGAAATTTGGGTTTTTTTTTCTATAAACCACCTTAAAAATAGGGTAATTCTATAGAAACCACCTTTGAATTTCAATTTATACTTAAACCACATTTAAAGTGGGTTTGTGTTGCAATCAACCACATCTTAGTCAAAATTTTCACTAAAACCCAAAAAAACTATAAAAACTTACATTCAAGGCACATGACTCGTTTTATTAATATTAATGTCTAGTAAGGATACAAGTCACGTACCTTGAACATGAATTTTTAAGGTTATTTTTGGTTTTTTAGTAAAAATTTGACTGGGAGGTGTTTGATTGCAACGCAACCCACTGTAAAGGTGGTTACCGTATAAATTGAAATTCAAACGTGGTTCATGTAGAATTACCCCATTTTAAAGGTGGTTCATATGAAGAAAAACCAAGAACTTTAACTCAAATATTTCAAATTCTTTGTGAACGTTATGATGAGTTATTGCAAGTTACTTTTCATATGCATCCAAAAAGAAAATAAATATAATATGTAGGACCTCCATATGCTACAAGTTTTACCCTATTATTCCGGAAACCTTTCCACATGAAGCACAACAGTAACTCCCATCAAGCTGCATCAATTGTCCATGGTCAACAACACCAGCTTTTCCACGTTGCAGAGCACACTCAATATGGCAAGACAACCCACACCAATCACCGCCGCCTGATTCAGATGTGCAGACCAACCAAAGACTTGGATCTTTGTTATCATCAAAGAGGTGACAGATGCAACATGAACATCTCTTACAGAAAGTATCCTCTGCAGTCAGAACAGCCTTACAAGCTGAATTCTTACAAATCCAGGTGCTACTGCATCTAGAATCCTCAGAGACTTCAGCAGAAGAAAGCCTAACAGGATTTTCACCCTTTCTCGGTTGCTTCTTAGGAGCTTGATTGCTGTTGGAAGTTGATTGGTTTGAAGAGTGTTTCCTCGACTCAGTGTTCTTGCATCCTTTGCTGGGTGTTTTTTTAGACAGTTCCTCGGTTATTTTACACCTTGACGGACCAAATTGCTTCCTTTCTTTATCTAGACTTGGACGCATGAGCTCCTTCCTTGGATAGGACTTTAGAAACTCCTGCAGGCTTTGATTCTTTGCATCGTCATGCATATCTCCATTTTCTTCTGGAGTGCTTATAGCACTAGAAGATGTATGTGAACCAAAAGCTGAAAAAACAACACAGCACTGTAATGTTAAAATAAAAACCACATGACCTACCGATAAAGAACAAAATATGCTATTTGATATGTCATATAACAAAAGGGTTACACATATGACACCAAGCACAATAAGGAACAAGCATGGATGTCCAAGAGATTAGAATTAAATGAGCAGTTAAAAAAATGAAAACCACCAATAACCGAGGAAAAGTTCAAGTAAACAAGTGAATAAAGGAAAATATAAGGAGAAGATAAGGAGAATCTGTTGAAAGTATGACAACTGGAATAATGAAATTACCTTGGAAGGAAAGTGAAAGGATTTAATGTTTTCCGCTGGATAAAGTGTAGGTTCCAGTGAAATGGCACAATACAGGGTTCCAAAATGTTTAAACACGCCGATATGTTGAATAAATGCCCAGGCATCCAGGCTGCTGCAGCCGGCGCTAACCATATTTTATGACTTGGATAGAAATTAAACATTACTGTAGTAGGTATCAGACAGAGGGTAAGTCAACTAACATGTTGAGGAAGAAAAAGATAAAAGAAAGACAATGGTGATGAGAATGAAGAAAGGAGGAACAAATGCAATAACAAGAGGGATGAAATGTGATTCAGCACAAGAAAGGATGGAAAAAAGATGCAGAAGACGACAAAGAGGAGCATAAATTTACTAGTAAAGCTATTTTTAAACCATTTCTCTTACATATAAATAGCTAGAAGTAAATGTTAACCATTACAAGTAGTATTCAGTCAAAAAAACATTTTAAGTTATGAAATATACCACTAAATTAATTAGATCTAACTAAAGTATTAGTTTTTGAATTAACAATGACATAATTAGGGTTTCAAAAGAGTCAAGGTTTCTAAGCTAGGTTATCCTGACATTTTCATCTAGGCTCCCGTATCCGTGTCCATGTTGAAACACTCCTTGGACACTTCTTGAATACATACATACATTTATGCAGACGTGTACTCAATTACATAACACATGCTTTAGCTTAAGAAACTCGTGATACACTTCTTGAACGTATTTTGTGCACTTCACCTCAACTTTATGCAACTTGATGGACTCAGGTCAGGTTCGTTTAGGCACATAATTAGTTCATAAGTATGATAGTTAAAATCTACTCAATAAAAGAAACATAAAACAGGTATAAGGACTTTAGTACTCAATAACATGTAAACAAAAAACAAAATCAATCTCATATATACTATTATGTTTAATGTGTGTATATAGCAGTGTTCTCATATCCTAAATTTTACAATTGTATTATCCACACCCATGTCTGTGTCCGCACCCACACCCGTACCCGTGCAACATAGTTTCTAAGTTTTAAGAAGAGGTTGACCAGACCAATAACAGAGATTCCAGCTAAGTGTTTTGAGCTGCTGCCCCATATAGAACATAGCTAAGGGATAAATCATAAATGCCAATGCTTCCTAGCTATCTAGGAGACTAATTAGCAAGATTACCCTGGCAACCTAGGCACACTGACTTGGAGCAAATATTTCAGAGTTAATCGGACGACGCTCGACAACCAAGGAGTGTATATTATAGCAAAATATGTGCTGATAAGTGTCTCTACTTGAAAGATTTCAAAGTGAAAAGAAATTCAACTTAACTAATTTGTCAGTACTAATGGAGAAGAAAAGTATAGAAAGTTCGAAAATAAATCAAGTTCAATTAAATGTAAAACTTTTGGATCTAGAAATTTGAGCCATGTCTAAGAGGTTAAAATTTGAGTCAACGTGTTCCCAAGGGCTTGAAGTTACGGAAACCCCAATTCTGCCTCTATGATAATTGAATATTGATGGGTCATAGTATCATTCATAAGACACCCTAAACATGCCCCTCCATATCCAACAATTTGCATCATAAGAAGGGTCTGTTTAAGATAGACATAAATGTTACCTAGTGTGCATAAATCAAATCTTGTTATACTGATTAGCAGAAGTGCCAATAGTTAGTGCTTGAAATTTACACCAACAAAGGATGAATAAAATTGCAAACAGCTTCACTGCTCAAAAAATAGATTTTTGGAGTACCAATGGCACTAATCGTAAATCTATAACCTTCATTCTCTATCTTCCTTTGAAAGCGGTGCAGTTGTTTTTCGGAGTTCCATTGGTGACTTCCTTATTTATTTAACTTTGAGAATAAATATAACATCTAATATTCTCCGTCATTTCTTTAACCCCAACCTTCTAATTCCTCTATCAACAGGTCAATACTGACACCGAACGTGACTTATGCTTCCTCTACAAGAGAATCGGCATTAAAAAAGATCAGCATTGACACAGATCATCTCCTCCTCTTGCTTTGCAACCCAGCGACTCAAGTCCTTGAGTGCATATGGGCTACAACGGAGGATTACACGTTATTGTCTTTGTTATAATGTGTATATAACTCTCAAACCACACCACAGCTTCAAAGTTATGGTCTAATGGCTAGAGGGACTTTAAGATTGTATCAGAGCGCCTCAAGTTCACCAGCAACCACGAATTTAAAACAGATTTTTAAAAAATTGATATTGCTGTGTGAATCCAGGTTTCAACCCATAAAAGGGCACTCAACCTATAGGGGCATATTAGAATATAAATATATAACTTTTAACCCTCACCACAACTACAGAGTTATGGTGTAATGGTTAGGGGGATTTAAGAGTCTCATTAGATGCCAATCTCCTTCAGTGACGCTTGGAGGAGGACACGGTGGTGGACAAGGAGCAAAACTTGGGCAGTTACAAATAAGATAGGAGATAAATTACCATATCAACATTTAAATTGAAACAAAAAAACAAATAGATAAAAACTTAATTTTGGAGCACCAAAGCAAAACCCATAAAAAATAACTTAAATTGCAATTTGAAGTTAAATGATGGTTGCTGCTAAACTTGATAATGAACACTTCATCCAAATATTTAATAAATTATCTTTTGAAATTTAAAAGTTAACAAAGCTTATGATGCACAATAAAAGAGTCAAAGTCCGTATCAAATGTTAGCTGAAAACTACAATAAAAGAAAGGAGTAAGAAGAAAATTTAATGATAAAACAATGTATGCAACATGTCACTCTCTTGATAGACAACCATCTACACCTATTGCACATCTTGTCCACAAAATCCCGACTTCTACTTAAGAAGATGACAACAGAACTAAGAAGAAATTTTCTCGAAAAGATAATGACAAATTTGTCTCCACCACAAGCACCTTATATTTTATCTAATCTTAGGTCAATCGAATACATTATAGCCATCGCACCATCAGAACTACTACCAAAGTAATGATAGAATAATCTACCCCGGTCTAAGGAGATATTACACGAGTAATAGTGCATCATATAAAGCACAATGTACGCACTAAAAATCAATATATTGCATAGTTAACCTAACTGATAAGGTTCCCTAAGTTCCTCATAATCATTGTGAGGAAGTATAAGAAAATGCAAGTTTAATGTATAAAAGTTCATAAGCATGATCAATTTAATTTACACATAATGCATTATTTTTAAATAGCCATGTGGTGCAATATTATTTCATTTGACTAATTCAACAAGATACTAAAGCATAGAAGATTTTGTACATACCTCTAGGAACAACCTTATCATCTGAATCCATTCTTTTGAAACTTCAGAAATCTCTTATTATATTTTCCTGCAGAAACGGTGATTCAATTATCTCAAAATTGATATTAACAAATTTATGTTAAAATAGGGGCTATGAAAATTATAAGGAAAGGGAACATAATATTACTAGCAACACCAGCCAAACACGTTTCTTAATTAGCTAGTTGAGTAAAGGAAATTAAAGAGATAATTTTTGAATGAAGAAACTGAACTGAAGCATATAAAAGAAACAAGATCCCATTTGGCTCTTTCTTATATTTGCAACCTTAAAGATGAATGCAAATTCTTATAAAAATCTATATCATTTTACCCTGTCAGTTATACCTTTCCTTGGTTCCATGTAATCCAGACCTTCCACCACGATTATATAAGAACAAATTGCACGACATGAGAGGGGGGAGGCTTGCCATGTGCTAGCCACTGATCATCAAGGATCTGAATCTAATGCTGACTGCGTGACTTCTTTATATTAAATTGGTTCGGAAACCGATGAATGGGTCACTTCTTTATCTTTACTTAGATTGAAAACGGGTATAAACTCATATGCGGTAGGTTTATATCAAATTGGCAACCAGTCATAAAAGCTTGTTTTCTTTGGACCTTCTCTGCATATGAGTCATAAACATCCCACAAGCTTTTGATGGTTAAAAGTTTAGATACCGAAAGGAGCGAGTTTGTTCTTTTTAGGGGGAGCAGGGTCGGTGCCCCCTAACCAAAAAAGGGGTTTTTATATATAATATATACACCTTATAATAACAATATACATGAGAATTCAATGTTTATATGTCTTTCCATTAGATGTGAGACCCAATCTTTACAATTTTGTTTGGACATGTTAATTTAATTTTTTAAAGGAGCACATTAGAATGTCATATTAAGGTTTCGGTCTTCAAACCCAAAGTTTTGCCGCAATTTATTTTTAAACCCGCTAACTTCTATCTATACTTATACATCCAAGACACTTTTTCTTATTATCTTTAAGTCCGAATCATCAATTACATCATATTGTTATATAGTATTTTTATAAAAATCTTAAAAAGCCTAAAATACCCTTGTCCTTGTCCTCCTCTTCTTCTCTTAACCCATAACTCAATTTTTTCCCCTCTTCTCACCCTCTTCAATCTCTCTACTTCTTCGTTTGGGCTTTTCTCCACCCTCTTCGCTGCCCTCCCTCCCTCTCCTACACCACCGGATCCTTCCCCCTCTCCCGACATTCCGCCTCTTCCACCTCCTCATTATCAACTAATAGATTTTGTTATTATACTTACATGCATTAATGTATACCTATGTTACATGGGTACTTCTATCATGAAGTCGTACCCATACCCGACACTTATTCATACCCAAACTTCATGGACACTCCTTGGACATATGCATACATTTACCCAAGCTACGCATGCACTCAATCATACGTTATATGTTTTAATTTAAAATACTTATCATACACTTCTTGAATGTATATCCTACAATTACTGTCCATTTCTTAAAACTTGTTAGACAGGTGTCCCTTTGTTTCAGCACATATCCAAGTCAAAGACTATGATTTAAAAGGATGCTTGGAGAGTCTAGTTAAAAAGCGATATGTTTCCAAACATAATAAAATAAACTTAAAAATATGATTGGAATTTCACTTTAAATAGCACAAGAATCAAAAAATAACAAGGATCTCATGTGAATTATTGATTTCAATGTATATGTATAGTAGTATCTCGACACCCTACATTTCACTAGTTGTTTGTACTTGTACCTGTACCATGCAGCTTGGTTATATATTTATAGATTTTATTGCTATACTTGCATGTCTTGGGGAAGGAGAGAGAAGGTGGCGGAGGAGGAGGAAGGAGCGAAGAGGATGAGAGGAGGTGGAGGTAGGATGAGAGTCAGGAGGTGGTGTTGATGGAGGAGCTTCAAGAAGTGGGCACGAAGGAGAGAGGAGGATGTCATTAAAATGAAGGCAATGAATTCTTTTATCAAAGAGAGGAAGAAGGGTGTGTTGGCTAATTTTGTTTCATTAAAAGATACAAAATACATATGTAATTGTATTTTATACTATTGGATTTAACGATAAATACAAATAGTATTTAGATTTATGAGTGATGATAAAAGTAAGTGGTTTTAAAAATAAATCATGGTAAAACTTTGGATTAATAAGCAAAAAAACCCTTTATGTTTAGTAGGGCTTTGTGCATATTAGCCCTTTAAATCTTTAATAGTTTCAAAATAGTCCCTCAAATTATTGAAATTGTTATCAAGACCCTCAATTCCCATAACTTTTAGTGCTACTCTTGATTGTAGGAGTTAACTTGTATAAGTTTAGGGACCTAATAGCAAGCTTAGTGATATAAAGTACTAATTTTGAAACAGCTTATAATGAGTGGGGGTATATTTGCAATTCCAATGATTTAAGAGACTAATTTCAAAAATATTAATGATTTAGGACTAATAATTGACATTTAATAATTTCAAATGCATAAAGAAAGAAAAAACGTACATGTATATATCTTTAACAATTAAAATTGATTAAAAAATTATACTTACCTCTATTCACAATCCATTTTAACTTCTTATGTCCTCTAATATAACGTTGTATTTGATAACCCATTGAAAACTAAGCTAAGATTAGTCCTCGCCCAGTCGTATCCTAAACCAATCTCGAGCTAAACTAGACAAAGGGTGGTTCAACAAAGAACCAATTTAAAGGGCTTTTTTTAGGAAACCGAGCCCAATTTTGGTCTAGTTTTTTGCCAAACAAAAACTCAAAATTAGGTTAGCATCGACATTGGACCAGTTTTAAGGTGCTTCCGAACACACCCTAAAGTGATAATAAAAGTGAGTCTAAATTTTCTAAAGTTTAAGAATAAGAAAAATCGTCATATTTTTTACAGACTAAACAAATATTTCATATTTTTGGAAAATTTGGGAAATATGTAACAATGTGACCTTTTTGGATTCACGTCATCATCCTTCTCAAAATTACGTTTAGTTTTCAAAACCCTAATTTTCTTAATTTCTTTCAAGTTTTGACATCTACCTCATCAATGATTAATAAGCATGTTGCACTATTCTATTTGTGATTTCAAGAAATATATAAGAGCATGTTGTTGTTTTAGGCGCAAAGAGATGGCAATCAAGGTATATATGCGAGTTTTGAATTGAGTTTTCTTAACTTGTTGTGATAGTTAAATTGAGTGACACCAAAACCTATGTACCGTGACACTCTCTTTTAAATCAACAAAATGGAAGATGGTTTAACTGATGAGGAGCTTGGTTTTATTTGTTCATCCATGGAGTTGAGACCCTCTAACCAATCTTGGACCAGTCCCTTGATACTGAGAATGAGAAAGATGAAATAGACTGGTGTAGATGATCTATATTAGATGGTCATTAGAGGTAAAATCTAAGAATTTTTTATCTAGGCCACACAATAATCAAGCATACTAATTCCGTTACTCAAACATGCATGCCGATCACTTGATCTTTATGCTATAGAAAGTTGGCGCCCAGCAAACATATATAAAGAAGACTCTTTTGCTTGCAAACAACATTCTGTTGGACTTGGAGAGCAAGTTGGTCCTTTAATAAATTGAGAATATTAAGCCATGTCCAATTCTAATGATAAAATCAGGAAACATATTAAACAATATAATCTACAAATAGAATGGAAGTGTTGAATAGCTCAACATGGTCTGATTTGAATGTGTAATGCAGTTGAGAAACTAGGCTAGTAGCAGTGTTTTAAAAGCAAAAGGCAAGGCCAAGGTGATTAGATCCTATGTTGTTTGAGGGGAGAGATGACAAAAAAGGCCATCATCTAAGTGAACAAAGTCTATAAATATTTTAAAATTTTATAAACATTACAAATAATATGCAAGTATCAATAAATAGCGACAAGACAAATTAATCACACCCAAATTTTCAAAGTCTCAAAGCTAATAAATAAACCATCTAAGTGTAACACTAACAAATATTGAATAGTAATAGTAACTAGTAACTGCTAACACATACAACTAAGCAACAGACTTTGAACTTTAAGGTTCAAATTGTGTCATGTCCCCAAAATGATATAGGTAATAAAATACATTTCAACAAAAAAAATAGCAAAAAACCGACAATGAAAAAGAAAACACAAAATTCAATAACAAAAATAAACTTTACTTTATCATACACCTTTCGCACCCTCAATTTTGAAACAGAGACCTCACACCTTGTATCACATGCCTTAGACAAGCCCTTGAGGCATCGAGACAAGGTCATAAGGCGCAAAGGCGAGCTCTTGAGGCGCTAAAAGGTGATCACCTTAGTAACCTTCATCGCCTGGCAATACACAAGGCGCTAAATTACAAGATTGCCTCGCCTGAGCGCCTGAGGCGCATCACCTTTAAAACAACGGCTAGTAGGACCATAAGAACTTAGTGCAACTACTAAACAGTATGATCAAGACGATGTTATATGCATTTGCTTAGGTCAAGATAAAATAAAAAGAGAGATAAGATGTATTTTCTTGGGTTTCCTTTGATTTGGATTTTCTATGGTGAAATTTTAAA